AATCAAATACAAGAAGAGTCTCATTGCCAAATAAAGTTGTCTCATTAAAAAGAGAAACAAATACTACACGACTCTGTGTTACGTATAGACGACCCTGTACACATAAACCCTAAACCCTAAACCCTAAACCCTAAACCCTAAACCCTAAACCCTAAATTCTAAATTTTATTAAGCAACATGAAGTTGTCTCATTAAAAAGGGAAACAAATACAACACGACTCTGCGTTACGTATAGACGACCCTGAATACGTAAACCCTAAACCCTAAACCCTAAACCCTAAACCCTAAACCCTAAATTCTATAATATACAGTCCATAGATAGGTGTCAATATCGGTAAGGAGACGGGGAGGTGTCTACAGCAGCAGCAGCAATCAAAGGAAATGCAGCAGCAGAAGCAACAGCAGCAGCAGCAGCAGCAGCAGCAGCAGTACCTGGAGGAGGATCCTTCTGCTGAGGGCACAGCTATAAGACTGCAACACGAAGTCTTTTATCCCAAACCTACACAAAGAAATAAAACCCTAAACCCTAAACCCTAAACCCTAAACCCTAGACAGGTCAAGCTGCACCACAAGAGCAGCAGCAGCCACAGCAACAAACGGTGGCAGAGACAGAAAGCTCCAGCCCTATCAGCAGCAGCATGCACTGGTATTGCTGCTGCTGCTGCTGCTGCTGCTGCTGCTGCTGCTGCTTGCCTGTGAAGGACATCATCTTGCCGCAGGGAGTCAAGAGGAGGTGCAGCAGCAGCAGCAGCAGCAGAAGCAGCAGAAATGTCCCCTTCAGACCGGAGGGACCGCAACCGCGTATTCTGAGCAGCAACAGCAGCAGCAGCAACAGCAGCAGCAGCAGCATCAGTTGCATGCAGTATAGGTCTAATCTGTTAAACAAAGCAGCAACAGTTTGTCTCTCCCTCCCGCTGCTGCTGCAATGCAGCAGCAGCACCCAGTTAACGAGAAGAACCCCAAAGCAGCAGCAGCAGCAACAGCAGCAACAGCAGCAGCAGCAGCAGCAGCAGCAGCCAACCTGTGAAGATTTAGGGAATCGGGAAGACCACATAAAAGGGCCTGAATAAAAACTACGACGTGCAGGTTCTCCACGTGCATCTGCTGCTGCTGCTGCTGCTGCTGCTCCTGGTTCTGTTGCTGCTGCATCTGTTGCTGCTGTTGCCTGTGTCAATTGCTGCTGTTGCTGCAGATCCACAGCAGCATGCCGTTCGTCAGCCAAGGGGAAAACCGCGCTGCTGCTGCTGCTGCTGCTGCTGTTGCTGCTGCTGCTGCTACAAAGAGAAACATCGCCTACAGGGGCAGGTACTGCAGCACAATTTGTAGGGGTACTCCTACCTGCTGCTGCTGTTGCAGCAGCAGCAGCAGCAGCAGCAGCAGCAGCAGCAGCAGCAGATTGTTCTACGTGCGGTGCTTCTATCTCGTCAGGAGAGTTCAAATTAAAACATAAAACACGCAACGAATGAGGACTCCCTTCTGCTGCTGCTGCTGCTGCTGCTGCTGCAGTAGCAGCAGTAGGTGCTGCTGCTGCTGCTGTTGTTGCTGCTGCTGTTGCTGCTGTTGCTGCCTCTTCTTTTCCATCCCATAGATCTAACACAGTTGGAATTGACGGCAGACTTTGCGTAGCGTGGCTCTCTGCTGTTGCTGCAGTTGCTGCTGCTGCAGCAGCAGCTGCTGCTGCTGTTGCTGCTGTTGCTGCAGTTGCTGCTGCTGCTGCTGCTGCTGCTGTTGCTGCTCCTGATGGTGGTGTCTCTCGATATACTGAAGAGCCTATGTGGTGACGCATTAGGCCGGGGGTAGAGAAGAAGCGAAACCCTAAGCTGCTGCTGCTGCTGCTGCTGCTGCCAAACAGCCTTCTGCTGCTGCTGCTGCTGCTGCTGCTGTCGTTGCTGCTGCTGCTGCTGCTGCGTAGTAATGTTGCATCATCACTAAGTGCCTCCCTAGAGGATATTATTTCTCCGCTTGGTGCTCTTAATGGTGCTGCTGCTCTTGCTGCTGCTGCTGCTGCTTTTGCTATTTCTTCTACTGTTGCTGCTGTTGCTGCTGTTGCTGCCGTTGCTGCTGTTGCTGCTGTCTCTGTGCTGCAGCTTAGACTTGATGCAGCTTTATCATAGTCTATCTGTTGCTGCTGTTGCTGTTGCTGTTGCTCCTCCTGCTGTTGCTGCTGCTGCTCTTCAGTTATTATCAGAAAGTAATCATTCACAGCAGCAGCAGCAGCAGCGGCGGCAGCAGCAGCAGCAGCTGCTGCTGCTGCTGTCTTGCTGCTTTCCCGGTCATCTGCAGCAATAGTAGGAGCAAAGGGAATACCAAAGGTTGGCGCATTGCTGCTGCTGCTGCTGCTGTCAGCAGCTATAGATTCCCTGCGGCTGCTGCTGTTGCTGCTGCTGTTGCTGCTGCTGCTGTTGCTGCTGCTGCTGCTTGGGAAGCTGTATCTGTCAAAGTTGCTGCTGCTGCTGCTAAGACTCTCCTCCACTACCGCAACGTCAGAAGCACTCCCTCTCCTGCCGCCCTGCTGCTGCTGCTGCTGCTGTTGCTGCTGTTGCTGCTGCCGTGCTCGCAGCTTCGCCTGCGGGTAATCAACAGGTAGCAAGCAACTGCAGCAATATCACCAGCAGCAGCAGCAACAGCAACAACAGCAGGAGCAAGAGCAGCAGCGACAGCAACAGTAGCAGATATAGCAGCAGCTACACTAGCAGCAGCAGCAGCAACAGCAGCAGCAGCAGCAGCAGAGGACAAACCTTGTGTGTCAATCTCGTTGCTTCTCTCTGTAGAAGGGGCAAATCAGTGAAGAAAACATCGGTGCTGCTGCTGCTGCTGCTGCTGTTGCTGTTGCTGCTGCTGCTGCTGTTGTTGTTAATGTTGGGGACAACTCGCACCTTCTGCAGCCACCAGTCTGCTGCCGATGTATCTGCCAACGGCTCTGCAGCAGCAGCAGCAGCAACAGCAGCAGCAGCAGCAGAAACAGCAACAAGACAAAATGCAACATGAGGCAGCAGGCACCAGTATACGAAGCAGCAGCAGCAACAGCAGCAGCAACAGTAGCAGCAGCAGCAAGGGAGGGCGATTTGCATGCATAGACAGTTTGCTGTGCTTACCTATAACGTTGCTGCTGCATTCGCCTGAATCTCCTGCTGCTGCTGCTGTTGCTGTTGCTGCTGCTTCTGCTGCTGCTGCTGCTGCAGAGACGGGAGGGAGAGTTATTAGCTGCAGCTCAGGGACACCAAGTGCAGCAGCAAATGCTGCTACGAGCTGCTGGTGTTGCTGCTGCTGCTGCTGCTCTGCTGCTCCTACTGCAGCAACATGTATATCAGCAGCAGCAGCAGCAGCAGCTTCGCTTGCTGCTCTCGATGCTGAATGGATCTGCGTAACGCACAGCAGCAGCTGCTGCACCTCTTCTGCTGCTGCTGCTGTTCCTGCATGCACCAATTCTTCTGCTGCTAGCTGCTGCTGGCTCCCTCGTAAGTCAGATGGTCCCTGCTGCAGCAGCAGCTCCTCCTGTCCTGCTGCCTGCTGCTGCTGCTGTTGCTGTTGCTGTTCGGGTCCTACACCCTCTGACTCTACAGCCGGAGAGCCACTGTCGCTGCTGCTGCTGCTCCCAGGTACAGCAGCAGCAGCAACAGTTGCTGCAGCAGCTGCAGCAGCAACAGACAATTGTTTGGATGACTCCGTTTCTTCTGAAGACCCCCGCTGCACCTCTTGCTGCTGCTGCTGCTGCTGCTGCAGCTGCTGCGGCGGCTGCAGCCGCTGCAGCAGCGCTGCTGCAGCCTTAAGCTTGCTTGCTGCTACGTTTAGCTGCGGCACAGCCCTTAGCTGCAGCGCTGCTGCTGTGTCTGTCCACAGCTGCTGCTGCTCTGCTGCTGCTGCTGCTGCTGCTGTTGCTGCTGCTTCATATGCTCCCCAGTTAACAGTCCCTAAGCGAGTTGCTGTTTCCTGCTGTTGCTGTTGTTGCTGCCCCTGCTGCTGCAGTTGCTGCTGCTGCAGCTTCTGCTGCTGGTCTAGAGCAGCAGCAGCAGCAGCAGCAGCAGCACGCAGCACCCTCACGTACTCCTCGAAGGCAGCAGCAAGAGAGGAAGCAAAGGTGGATATACACCGCAGCATTCTGCTGCTGCTCCTTATCCTCTTGGCTTGCTGCTTTGCCGCTGCATCTGCTGCAGCAGGTGCAGCAGCAACAGCAGCAGCACAGCCTTCCTCTGGTGAAGGTGTAACAGCAACTAAGGCTGCCTGCAGCTGCTGCTGCTGCGCTGCAGCAGCTGTTGCTGCTTGCTGCAGCGTGAGGCATTCCTGCTGCAGCAGCATGCGTATGAGCCTGAGGATATGTTGCTGCTGTTGCTGCTGTTGCTGCTTCTGCTGCTCCAGTTGCTGCTGCAGTTCAGCAAATTGGCAGCAAACTTGCTGCCTCGTGTTCGCTTCTGCTGCAGCACGAGCTGCAGATACACCCGATAGCTGCTGCAGCAGCCGCAGCGCCAAGGAGACATGTATACGGCTCTGTGTCCTCTCGGCAAAAGCAGCAGCATCTAGTTGTCTCCCTGCTGCTGCTGCTGCTGCCGCTGTTGCTGTTGCTGCTGCTGCTGCCGCTGCTGTTGTTGTTGTTGTGTCGTCGTGCTGCTGCTGCTGCTGCCGTTTCAGTTGCTGCCTGTGGTGTGCTGCAGCAGCAGCTGCTGCTTGTACTGCCTCTAAGGATTCCTCTGCTGCTGCTGCTGCTGCTGTATATCTTGCTGTTGCTGCTGCGTGGCTCTGCTGCGCCTGTCGCCAGCTTGCTGCTAGCTGCTGCTGCAGTTGCTGTTGCCGCTGCTGCTGCTCCTGCAGCTGCTGCTGGTTCGTCGTTGCTTCTCCGGCTTGCTTCTGCAGCTGAGCTGCTGCACAGCTGTGCTGCTGCTGTTGTGTATGCAGCAGCAGCAGCAGGAGAGCCCATATGTGTCTTTTGCTGCTGCAGCTAAGACACCGCAACGGCCATTGATGCTCTGCTGCTGCTGCTGCTGCTGCTGCCTTTGGCACCCAGC